ATACTATGGCTAGACCTATAAAACGTTTAATTACATACAATGAAGCTAAAACTTTCGTTAAGTAGCCATTATATTCAATATTACAGGTAATTAAGATTTAATCCTATAGAATCTCAAGGAATGACCATGAAGTGTAGTAAACTGTAAACATTCATTGAAGGTTAGAAAATCTGGTGAAGGCCTTTTATGACATATTGTCAGGTGGATGGGTACAGTGATTCCTTACAACATAATTTACAACTCAAATATTGTTGATATAATACAGTAACTCTGGTAAAGACTTAATTAGGAACGATTCATCCAACTAATGGAGGATACCAAAATGGTTTTGGATGTATCATAATATTGTTTGGCAGACATGAATAAATTAAACAGAATCTACAGACCCCATCACATTCTGTATGTGCCTGTCCCTAGTCGGGAACCTGTAACAAAGGATTCATTGGTCGCCGTCTATCATATTTGTTTTTTTTTGCTTATTGTATTGTATATGATCAGTTCGATGGTTTTCTTATATAGAGTTGTTCAATATGTATAGTCATCTCTGATACTTTTGTAAAACACCACTACTGATCCCTGTGACCCCTCTTAAACAGGAAGATACATAATCACAACTTAAAAAGTCCAAAGAGCCTTGATTTCATAAACTAAAAGTAAGTCACTTTTATTGATTCAATCAAAGATATAACAGTTATTGCCACTTCAAAAACAAGAGGCTCCCAGGAGCCAGTAATCACTCACCTGGTTTGCAATAGCCAAGAATAAATCTGAATTTATACATGCAAGACAAGTTTTTCAAACTGAAAAAAATAGTAAAAATTTTACAAATTACAATGCAACTAAAAAGTGTTTTTTAACTCTTGTCACAACTCTAAATATAAATAAGAAGATGTGGTATGAGTGCCAATGAGACAACTCTCCATCCAAGTCACAATGTATAAAAAGAAATAATAGGCAGGCAGTAAAAGAACTCTTACAAAAACTGTTATAAAATGCCTGACGAAAAGACTTAAGAAATACAAAACAGACATTTAACAAACACAGGGCAAAAACGGAGATTATAAGAAATCTAAGTAAAACCATACCAGGGGGCAATAATAAAAACAGCAAGCATGGATGAGTATTAGTACATTCCAACACCATTATATTGAATTAACAAATAAAGAACAAAGATAAAATAAACATGTGAAAGCTCTCTCACAGGCAAACAACCCATAATTGTAACATATAATGGTATAAAATTGAGAATGGAAATGGGGAATGTGTCAAAGAGACAACAACCCAACCAAAGAGCAGAAAACAGCTGAAGGCCACCAATGGGTCTTCAATACAGCGAGAAAATCCCGCGCCGGGAGGCGGGCTTCAGCTGGCCCTTAAACAAAAATGTGTACTAGTTCAATGAAAATGGATGTCACACTTAACTCCAAAACATATAAATGAACTAAAATTAAAAAACATACAAGACTAACAAAGGCCAGAGGCTCCTGACTTAGGGCAGGCACAAAAATGTGGCGGGGCTAAACATGTTTTGTGAGATCTCAACCCTCCCCCTATACCTCTAGCCAATGTAGAATTAACAAACACACAGCAATACGCACAATAAAACTCAGTTTAAAAGAAGTCTGAGTCCGATGTCAGAATAGGTAACAAAAGAAACTAAGCAAAATGACAATGATACATAAATTAACAAAGGACTACTAGCAGTTACTGACATGCCAGCTCCAGACCTAAATTAAACTGATTGACAGATTATGTCTACATCATATGAAAATCAAGCACAATCCCTCCTGCTAGGGGTTTAGTATCATACTGTCATAAAATATATGAGAAGAACATAACCCGTATCATGCCAACAACTGGTTTTAGAATAAATGTGTTTATTTCCAATGCAAAGACCCTATGAGTGAATGAATATTAATACCAAAATATGCCATCTTTAATGACCTGACAACAGTATCGTAACAATATCCCTTCTGAATAAGTCTGTTAAAAGGTTTGGTAAGCTTTTGAGGTCAATGTCGACATTTTTGTGCTTTGTATAGAATATTACCATAAAAGATTGGATGTGAAATACACACCACAAGTTATATTTTTAGTAATGTGACCATTTTTGAGCAAAACTGTATTACTGGAATGCCAAAACTACCAAATGACAACAAGCCACAACACAGTACTTGCCATTTCAAGTCAAATGATATATGTCACAACCCTATGTTTGTAACAGTTCCATTTTTAGTAATGTGGCAATTTTAGATGGAGGGAGGGGTTATCATATATATATATACTGGAAGGGGACTATCCAATGATCATCCATGTCAAGTTTGGTTTTAATTGGTCACATGGTTTCAAAGGAGAAAAATTAAAATGTAAAAAATTAAGGAACTGTGTAAAACTATGTAACACAGGGCTCTTGAATTTTTAATCAGCACCAAAAACAACTAGAGGCTCTCAAGAGCCTGTGTCGCTCACCTGATTCTACTTTGGTTTTGGAAATCATGTAAAAATAGATTAAAATCATAACAGATACCCTAATAATGAGTGAGGCCAAATTTGGTTTAATATTGGTCCTGTAATTTAATAAAAAATCATGGTGGCCATCTTGAACAGTAAATCGGCAACAAAGTAGCAACACTTCATCAGCACCTCATAAGAAACATTTATGCCATGTTTTGGTTTCTTTCCATTCAGTGCACCTCTAGAAGAAGCATTTGTATGTATTTCCCATAGGGTCTTATGTTAAAGGAAGTCCCCCCATTGGCGGCCATCATGGATGAAGGATCAGCTTCAAAGTAACAAAACTTAGTCAGCACCTCATAAGGAACATTCTTGCCATGTTTGGTTTCAATCCATTCAGTATGTGGTTCTCTAAAAGAAAACATTTGTATGTATTTCTCATAGGGTCCTATGTTAAACTAACTCCTGCGCTGGCGGCCATCTTAGATTATGGATCGGCTTCATAGTAACAACACTTGGTCAGCACCTCATAAGGAACATTCATGCCATGTAAGGTTTCATTCCATTCAGTGGTTCTCTAAAAGAAGACATTTGTATGTATTTCCCATAGGGACCTATGTTAAACTAAGTCCCCCGCTGGCGGCCATCTTGGATGATGGATCCGCTACAAAGTAACAACACTTGGTCAGTACCTCATAAGGAACATTCATGCCATGTTTGGTTTCATTCCATTCAGTGGTTCTCTAGAAGAAGTTCAAAATGTAAAAAGTTAACGACGAAGACGGACGACGACGGACGCCAAGTGATGAGAAAAGCTCACTTGGCCCTTCTGGCCAGGTGAGCTAAAAATGTCATGATCTAAATTTGTCATACAGTGCCTGAGAAGAAGCTCTTTGCTTGTATTTTCTTTAAGGTCCTATGTTAAACTGTGTCCTGTGGTGGCAGCCATCTTTGATTTTGGATCAGCACCAACAACACAAACTTTGTTAAGTATCATAATCTGATCATTAAGGCACAATATGAATTCAATTTGTCATAAAGTGAACTGAGAAGTTGTTTGTATGTATTTCCCATTATGTCCTATGTTAACTATGTACCCTGGTGGCAGCCATCTTAAAATTCCCATCAACATAAAATTCATAAAGTTAGTAGAGGACCATTATATGATCATTCAGAAAAATTATCCATTCAATCTTTAAAACCATTTATAAGAAGATGTTTGAGTCATTTCCCGATTGGGTCCTGTGTTAACTATGATGTCTTGCAGTTGTAACCATCTAGGATTTCCAAAATTACAAACTAAGTACAGGACTATCATACAATCATATCAATTCAATCTGTCCAAATGATTTTGAAGAAGTTGTTTATATGTATTCCCATTAAAGATCCTACATTAACTTATAATGTTCCATGGTGGCAGCCATCTGGGATTTCAAATCAGCAACAAAATTACAAATTGGTAGAGGAACATTCTTTCGATGTAGAAGTTCATTTGGTCTTGTGGTTTCTAACAAGAATTTTTTTAAATTTCAGCCAATCAGAAAATGCCTTGATGAATATTCAAACAGATCAAAAATTTAAATTTCTTTAATGAACCTTCCCAGGAACATTGCTGACAAGTTTGGTTCCAATTGGTTCATCAGAAAAAGGTAGAATAACAAAAATACCGAACTCCAAGGAAAACTCAATACGGAAAGTCCCCTTGTTCAATGGCAAAATCAAAAGCTCAAACACATGAAAGTGGACAACTATTTACCATTTTCTAAATTCAACATACAAAGTAGATAAACAATCAAATGTCACATAGTTAAATAAAATTGTATCAAATATAAATCTACTGTCATTGAATATATATACACCTAATTTGCAGTTTGTTCTCACCATTCCATTTAACATGTCATTTAATCAGTTATTATTTTCAGAAGATTAGTTAAAAACAATGTGATCACATGCATTAGATAGAATCATAGATCTGATAAATAAAATCTATCAATTATATATAATTAAATGACAGAGTCAATACAGTTCATGGGATAATTCTTTTACAGAAGAATGAGAAGTAAACAAGCCATTGATGAGGAGTTTTACATTGCATACTAATTTAACATACAATATATGGAGAATAATTCAATTTTATACATGGCAAACTTAGTATGACATGCTATAAGAACCTAGAGAGATTAAGTCAGTCAGAGACTAAAAGGGTTGAGACTACTGGGCTACTAATGATACCCTCGGGGACTAACAGTCCACCAGCAGACAAATATGATCATATATTTAGAAATGGTCTTTGATAATCAAATAAAGCAAGTAAAGGATTCAGTTCCTAGAAGGACTTAATTATACATATATCTGTATAGATTTCATTTCTTCCTGATTCTATACATTGTCAAGTCTTAACATTCAGATATTGAAACTTAACATTTACAAGAAAAATTTAAAAAAAAATCATTGTACAAAAATATATATGACTGCAATCAATACAATTTCCTTCAATACACATAAATTTTGTAAATATTTTTTTTTTCATGTAAAAAATTCTTTACCTGTAAAACTATAGGAAAGTTCCAGACTGAATTATTCCTGTAGACAAAAATATAATAAATATTTAAAACTACGCATAAAAATTAAAAGATGCTTTATCACCCAGAACCCAATGGATCAATGCAAGGTTAAAACCGTTCAATATACACTTATTACCTTTAATTAAACTAAATACTTGTTAGGATAAGATTGTTTATACCATATTCAATGTTAGTGCTTTTAAAAATGCAAAATCAAAACCTTCACACAAAATCCAGACTATAAAATCAACAGAAATCAATTCTCTTTACAACTTGTGAGCTGCATGCAATTAATATTAACACATGTCAGGGAATCATTAGTGTCTTTCTTCTTTTTGGGGTTTGATTTCAAACAACTTTAAGTGATAAATTAAAAATACATTATAAATTATATTTTTCTGTTGTTTATGTAACATAAAGTAAATAGATCAATATTAAATGCAATTTTAAAGGTGTTGTATTATCAGAAAACATTTATTCATTTATATAACGTCACAGTACTCAAATTGCACGAGTACCCAAATTGCACCTATTTAGCAAAAATAGCAGCGAAAATCTTTAAGTTTTCTTAAGGACTAAACAATTTTAATTTTTTATCATTTGACATTATTCTCGTCTTTCAAATAGGTTAATATATTTAAATATTCACAAAACGTTCACAGTATATATCAAAAGATGACGTATTCACTGGAAAAAGTAAAATCTACAGAAATGTCGCCATTTTTAAAAATAAAATGCTCCTCTGGGGCGCAGCTTGATACGACCGCAGAGGTCGAACCCTGAACAGATGGGGCAAGTATGGACACAACATTCAAGCTTGATACAGCACTGAATTTGGATTGTAATTAAATATTTGACACAGCATAGGTTTCTGACACAGAATGAATGTGGTCTAAGAACTTAAAAATTTTAAATTTACCTATTCAAACCATATCATTATTATTTGCTTTTATATATAAATCAGAAATAAACAATTTAAAACGAAAAAAAAATCCCCCCCAAATTTTTTGAACCCCCTTATGATTCATCACCCCCAAACTCAATCCCAGCCTTCCCTTTGTGGAATGGTACCTTACAGTACAATTTCAGAGAGATCCATACACTTGAACACAAGTTATTGTCTTGAAACAAGAAAAATGCTTGTTTTTTGCCCCTTTTTGGCCCCTAATTCCTAAACGTTTTGGGCAATTACCCCTAAACTCAATTCCAGCTTTCCCTTTGTGATATGGAACTTTGTAGTACAATTTCATAAAGATCCATACACTTACACACAAGTTATTGTCATGAAACTAGAAAAATGCTTGTTTTTTGCCCCTTTTTGGCCCCTAATTCCTAAAATTTGGAGGCAATTACCCCCAAAATCAATCCCAGCATTCCCTTTGTGATATGGAACATTGTGGTACAATGTCAGAGAGATCCATACACTTACACACAAGTTATTGTCCTGAAACTAGAAAAATGCTTGTTTTTTGCTCCTTTTTGGCCCTTAATTCCTAAAATTTGGAGGCAATTACCCCCAAAATCAACCCCAGCATTTCCTTTGTGATATGGAACCTTGTGGTACAATGTCAGAGAGATCCATACACTAACACACAAGTTATGTCTGGAAGTTACAAAAATGCTTATTTTTGGCCCCTTTTTGGCCCCTAATTCCTTAACTGTTGGTACCATAACCTATTGAACCTTATGGTAAAATTTCATAGAGATCCATTCACTTAAACTAAAGTTAGAGTGCGAAAACCAATGTGTCTTCGGACACCGACGAAGACGATGCCAACGTCATACCAATATACGACCACAAAATTTTTTTGCGGTCATATAATGAGCAAATAAAATATGTTACGAGCATCCATTTCTGAAAAAAATGAATAGTAAGCATGGACAAATGTCAAATTGTTCTAAGTATTTGAAGAATATATCAAAACATCTATTATTTGATTTTTAAGAACGTGAATTTAAGCATAGTTGCAATTCGGGTACTCCTCATTACAGAATCATGGATTGTTTGGAGGTCGGTTCAAACCCATTTTTCTATGATTCAATATGGATTCAAAATTAAATTGGCAGATCTATATAGTAAATAAGGATACATCTACAAAATAAACACAGAATGGAAACTTTTGTCTGGATCATAAATAAACAGGTGAAAAAACTGTCAAAATAGGTGCAATTTGGGTACCCTCACGTTAAACAAACAATAATCAAATGTTATTTTATTTATAATTAAAATATTTTTTTACCCATTTCCATCTCCTCATAGACTTGTTTCATTTTGTATTTTGTTTGACAAGGTTAAGTTTTAGCCCCTTGACTTTCACTCTTACTTTCACTTTGACAAGTTAAATTTTAGCATGTTTAGCCCTTGACTTTTCTCTTACTCACACTTTGACAAGGTTAAGTTTTAGTTGCTTGACTTCAACTCTTACTTTCACTTTGACAAGTTTACATTTTAGCCCCTTGACTTTCACTCTTATTTTCACTTTGACAATCAATAGAGATCAACAAGATTATTACACTGAAGCATTATTATAATTTCCTACATCAATATTAATATAGGCTCAATATTAGACTGCAAAACAAGTACTACAAACTTTGCTGGGCTTCTTATAGTAACATTAGTCAACTACACATGGTGATGAAAAGCAATCCTACCAGCAATGACCGAGTATGAGAAATATGGCAAAGTCTGAGAAGAGTAGTGATCACAAGATGTAATCCATAAAGGTCAAAATTCCATATCACCTACACATGTAATAGTTTTTATCCTGCAATCAGCCTACTATTGTACAAATAACAGGTACACAAATAAATTTTTGCTTTATTTGTACTTGTACAAATAAAGTCTCCTGTTACCCCTCTTCCATGTTGAGCAAGCGGTAATGTGGATATTTCTTTTTACGTACCAGTTCATTTTGGGGTCCTCTTCGCGGTCCGCGTTTAAACTATGTCGATTTCTTTGAAAAATTAGAGACAATGATTTAGATTTTAACAACTAAAGTTTCAAGTGTTGGGTATAAATTTCAGGATAAAAACAATATATGTACATTGTTGGAAAATATAAAATTTATTTGTACTCGCTGCGAAACAGGAGAAAAGCTCGGCGAGCCTCGCTTTTCGTCCTGTTTCTAAAGCTCATACAAATAAATTTTATATTTTCCGACAATGTACATATATTGTATATACATTTTTCGCATTACTGATGTTGTTGCTGTTAACAGTTTCTTCCTACCTAATAAATTTTGAGACAATTGGCAAATACTTGAAAATTAGTAAAAAAAATCCTCATTTAAGGGCAGCAACTCCTGTAAGTAGTCATCCAATGGTTTAGATCCTAATGACATATTTGTAGATCTTGTAATAAAGATTGTTTTTGCTGTTTACAGTTTCTACCTATTTATTATAGTTTTAAAAATAATAGACAAAGACTTGAAAATTAGTAAAAATCATCATTAAAGGGCAATAACTCCTATAAGCAGTCATGTCATGATTTCAGTCATTACATATTTTTGTAGATCTTGTATTGCTAAACATTTTTGATGTTTACTGTTTCCACCTATCTATCATAGTTTTCAAAACAATAGACAAAAACTTAGTAAAAAAATCCTCATTTATTAGCAATAACTCCTACAAGGAGTCTTTCAATTGATTGGTCATTTTGTAATTGTTGTAGATATTGCAATGCCGACAAATTTTTACTTTTTTACAGTTTTTACCTTTTTTTGAGAATAATCAAAAACTAGCAAAAATAGTGAAAAGTTGTTTTTTAGTGGAAATAACTCCTATAAGGAGTCATCTGATAATTAAGATGGTAATGAGAAAGCTGATCCAGAAATTCTGAGCTTTATTGTCCTCTCGAATTTTCTCCATCTATTATAATAATAATATATACTGCAACTGTGCTATTTGCGCAGTCAAATTGCATTAAAATTAAATTTATTATAATTGGAGTTTATTAAGAACTTGTCATCTCACTCTATTGGGCAGTTAATTATCTTTGCACACGGTCTATGACGTCACAGTGCACATTCAATTCTAATCTAATTTTGCTACGTCATTACTTCACACGATGTTTGTGTATGATGTGTGTCTGCAAGTAAAAACTTCTATTGTTTTGGTCAGCTCTTTGACCAGTTTGCAAACTCGAATACCTAGGCATTATTTTGGACAGGATTAATATGCAGGCTAGACTTCCTTTAGACAAAGTTTTGTTTTAGATAAAAAATCTTGCACGCGTAGAGAACTCGAACAATTACTTGGACATCTTAACTTTGCTGCAAGAGTAATTTTGCCAGGTAGGGCATTCGTTACTTACCTTTATAGGCTGATGTCTTCTGTCAAAGAGAGTCACCACTATGTTCATTTAAATAAAGAGTGTAAATCCAATTTGACAATGTGGCTACAATTTTTGTCAACGTGGAATGGAAAGAACATGTTCTATGAATCTCATTTATCCTCTGCAGCGGACATGCATTTATTTACGGATGCTTCATCTACGATTGGTTTTGGAGGTTTTTATCAAGGGAAATGGTTTTATGACACTTGGCTTAAAGACCTTCCATCTATTGCTTTTCTGGAGTTATATCCTATCATGGTGTCAGCTGTTTTATGGGGAAAAGGATAGTCTAAAAAGCGTATTTTATTTCACTGTGACAATCTAGCGACTGTTATTATTCTAACTAAAGGTCGTTCAAAAGATCCTATAATCATGAAACTGGCGAGACGTCTTGTTATGTGTGCAGCAAAATTTAACTTTGCAATTTACAGCGAGCATGTGCCGGGAAAAATGAACTTAACTGCTGACTCTTTATCTCGTTTACAGATGAACAAATTTCATCAGTTAGCACCAGAGGCAGAGAAAGCAGCTGCTCCTTGTGCAACCTTGGAAGAGATTATTTGGACATCGCAGTAGAAAATTTACAAGATTTCGCTGTTGCAGATTCAACCAAAGCTTTGCACAATGTGGGATATGAACATTATCTTAAGTTCTTACAACTACAAGGATCAACTTGGTCAACTTTCCTGTTACCACCTGTTTTCTGAAAACTTGTTGATGCGTTTTATAGCCTTTTGCGAAACTCATAAGC